AATTGAGGAGAGCGGCAAGTGCAGGGGGGAAGGGATCGTAGTCGAGGGGCTGCAGCGGGCTCTGAAGTCGGGGCCTGGGCAGATTCTGCAGGCTGAGGAGCAGGCCGGGTTTGTGGCTCACGGTATCTACCCAGCAGGGCCTGTCCCTTCCGCGGGTGCTGACTCCATCGAATCCCAGGGCGGGCGGAGCCCTCAGGAGGCACCGAGTCCAGCCCCTGCCCAAAGCAGGATTGACCCCAACTCAACCATCCCAGCCAGGGCTTGGGGTTGGGGCGTGTGGTTTTCCCCTCGCTGGCCCCAGGAGCGCTGCTGCAGGAAGGCCACTTCCCTTTCCTCCTGGGAGCCCAGCCGGGAGCGGCAGCCTGCAGGGTTGGGAATTTGTGCATGTTCCCTCTGCGAGACTCACTCCGACCTGCCAGCTGGTCCCTGCGGTTGCTCTCCGGGGTGGTTCTCCCTGGTTTGGGACGGGCTCTGAACCCGGGGCCTGCTGGGGGCTGCATGCAGGTTTCAGGGGGTCCTCTGAGCAGGGCCAGCATTAGACTTGCTGGGGCCCTGGGCAGAAAGAAGCCGCCCCACGGCCTGTAGCTAAACCAGAGCCTCAGCCCCACCATCTGTGGCTTGCCCTGAAGTCTGAGCAACTAAGCGTTGCGGGGCCCTGCGGCCAGGCTCCGCTTGCTACCCCTGTGCTAGCCCTGGCTCTTCTGTGCAGAGGAGGAGCTGGGGTGGCCCGAGGGCTGTGGGTCTTGGAGCATGTTGGGGGCGGGGGGCTCAGAGAGAGGTTGAGCTCCCCCAGCCTGGGAGACGCTGGGGTGACCACTCCAGGGCACAAGGCAGCAAGAAAACGTGGCTCTGGGCTGCACGTACAGGAGTGTGTGAGCAAGACACGAGGAGTCGTTCTCCCGCTCTGCTCTGCGCTGCTCAGGCCTCAGCTGGAGTCTTGTGTCCTGTTCTGGGCACCGCGTGGCAGGACAGAGGTGGAGAAATGGGAGAGGGTCCAGAGAAGAGCAACAAGAATGATTCAAGGTCGAGAGAACATGAGCCATGAGGGAAGGCTGAAGGAACGGGGCTTGTTTAGTTTGGAAAAAAGGGGACGTGATATTTTCATGTACCTGAAAGGGCGTTACCAGAAGGAGGGAAGAAAATTGTTCCCCTCGGCCTCTGAGGACAGGACAAGCAGCAAGGGGCTTAAACTGCAGCCAGGGAGGTTGAGGTTGGACATTAGGAAAAACTTCCTGCCTGTCCGGGGGTGAAACACTGGGATAAATTCCCTGGGGGGTTGTGGGATCCCCATCCCTGGAGATATTGAAGAGCAGGTCGGACATACACCTGCCAGGGATGGGCTAGCCCAGGGCTACTCAACTTTGGAAGCTCCGGGGCCCACAATGGTATTCTCAGCACATGCCGAGGGCCGCAACTTAAGTATGGTTGCGTGTACATGCAAATATATGTGCAAATTTATGCAAATAGCTTTTCACACTGACGGGCATGAATGCATAAATTAAGGCAAGACCCCACAACACGCAGGCCCCATTGAAGTCTGCTCTGCTGATATGAATACAATGCAACAGTTACCTGATTCCCACCCACTTGTAATGAGCAGCGACAGTGCGGGAATGGAACTACCAAACCCATCGCAACAGGAGACCATGCTACTGACTACGGTTTTGTTTTGGCTCCCACCTCGCTGGCTGCGTGTTGAGCCCTGCGTAAACCCAAACCAGCCATGGGCTACATGTGGCCCACGGGCCACGTGTTGAGTAGCCCTGATCTACATGGTGCTGGTCCTGCCAGGAGGGCAGGGGACGACTCGATGCCTCTCGAGGGCCCTGCCAGCGCTAGGGGTCTATGATTCTGTGTGCAGCCCCACTCCGGTAACCCCAAGCCTGGCCTAGAATCGCCTGCCTGGGCTCCTCGAGGGGCAGGGAACACTCCGGGCACTGAGAGCAACTGGCCGTCTGGGCCGGGGGCGTACGGGAAAGCGCCACGCTCTGGCGAGACAGCGCCTGCCGTTACCCAGCTGCTGGCTGTCTGTGAGCGGGCAGGGCTGCCGCACCTAGAGCCGTGGGGAAGCCCCGCCGACAGGCAGGCCCGGGAAATGGGCTTATTTGTGTGGAAAGGGGCGACGCCGCGCCAGGGACCGCGCCGAGCATCTGCTGACTTCCCTTCTCTGTGTGTTTGAAGCCCATGAGGCACAGGAAGAAAGCCGCAGACAGAAACCTGCCCTGCCGCCCCCTGGTGTGCGCGGTGCTCGGTGAGTATTGCCAGCGCGGGATCCCTGTGACAGGGAGATGGGTGTTGTCGGGCGGAGCTTCCGGGTGTTGTCGGGCGGAGCTTCCGGGTGTTGTCGGGCGGAGCTTCCTGGCTACCTTAGCTGGGGGAGGAATTTGAATTCTCAGCAGGGTGGGTTTTATCCCGGCCTCTCCCTTCCCTCTCGCTGGTGCTGCCTCTCCTAGATCTGCGGGAAGCCACGTTTACGTAGGGCTCCCTGGACCCCTCCTTGCCATTGCTCCACGAGCATCTCGACTCTCCTGCCTGAGCAGTGTCCGGTGCCCGAGCTGAGGGAACGCGGGTGGGAAAGGAACAGACGCAGGCTGGAGCAGACACAGGCTGAATGTGACTAGCTGGAGAGTTGCCTGGTCTGTCTCCCGGGCTGGGCTAGACCTGAGGCTACTTAAATGTAGCCCTTGGGAAACTGACCGAGATGAAGACCGAGTCGTATGCAGAAGCCACCGGTCGTTTCTGAGGGGAGACCGGATTCACTTGGCTCCAGAGCCAGTTGGGTAGAGAGAGGCACATCCTCTTCGTGATCGTCTCGGAAAACAAAGCCGTAAAACCCACCTGCCTTCTGGTGACAGCCCTACAACGTATTTCTTGCCGGCATTTTCCAGCCGTGCTGAGGTTTGACATGCGAGTGCAGTTCTGTGCATCAAAACTAGCGAGGTGCTTTCTGTTTGAACAGTGGGGAAAAGAGCGTGGAGCAAGCATGTGTCAGAGCACATCGCGTTAAAATGCCAGGCGACTTGATAGCGTCTTCCTCTGCGTTCAGAAGAAAGGCTTAATTCAGACGCAGCTGTTACTAAATTCTCCCTCTTGCTTCTACCTGGGACTGATGTCTGGTGACACGGGGGCTGTGGGGAGTCGCATGTGCTTGTTGTCTGACAGGTTTTATCTTGACTTTGTCTTTGTCCTCCCTGCTCTCGCAGATCTGATGGTGGAGTTCATCGTAACGCACATGATGAAAGAGTTTCCTATGGATCTCTATGTGTAAGTGACGTCAGTCCGGCCGTGAGTTTATTCTCTGGCGTGTGGGAGGGAGGGGAATTTAATCACATAGTGCTCGCCAGGCCAACACAGCACTGCTTGGGCAGGTGGGGCTTTCCAGACGCTCCTAGGTCCGAGCTGGAGATGTCCAGTGTGCCAAGAGAGTGTCAAAGGAACGAATTTTCCCGTCAGGCAGTTTGCCTAATCTGCCAGATCAGCCACACAGAGCGCCAGCCGCCAGAGCCAGGTCCCAAGTAGGGCAGCCAGCCAGTTCTGAAGCACCAAGGACGGGTGACACAGGGCTGGGAAGCCAGTCCCACGCTCAGGAGCTTATTGCAAACAGGGTGAAATCTCCTCTGGAGCAAGGGGGTGAAATGCGCAGTTGGGGGCAGCATGAGGTCTGCGGGGCTAGTGCTGCATCTGCACAGTGCATGTTCCACCCCGCACGGCCCGCTCCCCACCCCGCGGGACACAGGCACGTCTAGGACGACGCTCGGCCCCTGCAGAAAGCCCTGGCTGCCAGCGGAGCGGGCTTGCTCCCGTTCTGGGCCCAGTTTCAGAATCAGTGAGAGACGCGGGGAGGGGAGGGGTTTCGAGTCAGGGTCAAAGCACGTTTTAAAAAGATGAGACGGAAGAGAAGCAGCAGCAACTCCCCGTGTGCAGCCGTATGCATCCATCCAGCATGTTTGCGCAGGCCCAGTGCTCCCACGAAGGGGCGCGCCGGCGCGGCCGCGCACACGAGCATTCTGCCCCGCCCACCTCCTCTGGAGAGCCACGCGGCAGGTGGCTGCTCCGGTGGGCGGGGCTGGCTGAGACGGCGTGGGGAGGGAGCTGCTGGGGCGGGGGAGGCTGGCTCCAGTGGCCGGGGCTGCCATGTGGTGGGGGGACCCGGCTCTGCTCCGGCAGCTGGGAACGTGAGTTAATAACTTGGGTGCCACGGTGGCCCACATCCAACTAGTGCCCGTGCCCTCGGTGTTGGTGCACAAGCCAAACCCCCTCCGCTCATGAGGGACACTGGCCAGCCCCTCCGCTAACTCCCCGCCCGGGCGGGCTGCAGCCGCAGTCACTGCAGGCGAGAGGGACGCTCGGGCCCCGTCGGCCGGCAAGGGGACGGGGACGGGGGGTGTGATGGGGAAGGTCCGTGCCTGTTCCTAAGAGGCGTTCAGATGCGGGAGGGCCCACGCACGGGGGCGTGTGCTCCACCTTGGCAGCCCGCTGCCTGCCGGCCTTGGGACGCCCTTGTAACCCCGACCGGTGCCCCCTGGGACTAGGTGGGCCCGGTCCCCAGGATCGTGGTTGTCCGGCCGGGGCCCAGGCCCGCCACTGCCATCCACCCTCCCTGGGGTCCTTGTCTCTTGGGCGCCACCTTGGAAAGGGCCCTGCTGGCCTCCGCTGCTGCTGATTTCAAAGGGGAAGAGATTGGTTTAGCGTCTCCCCGGCGCCCTTTGGGCATCGCCTGCACAGCTACCCCCAGGGCCGGCCCCGCGCACCCCGCTGTGTGCGCCAGCAGGAAGGCGTGGGCACCCCTCTCCATGCGGGTGCACCTCCCCAGACCCATTGTCCTGAAGCCCCTTGAACACGCCTCGCGCTGAAGGAGGGTCCGAGTGCTGCAGCTGCGGTCTGTGTCCGTTCCCTTAGCCCCACGGCCTGGGTCCTGGAAACCCCATGACCGGGGAGCCAAGCGGCTCCTGTTCAGAAACTAGCCCCACAAATCCAGAGCTCTGTGTGAGACGCCCCCTCCCGTCCGGGCCTGGGGCCGCCTCTTCCCCCGGGCAGCAGGCCTGGGGTCGGGGGCCAGGCCCTCCCAGCCAGGGCTTGGTGCAGCTGTGGGCCCGGGTGGCCTGGGGACAGCGCTGATCTTGCCCTTCGCTCTGTTCCAGGCGGTGCGTCCAGATCGTTCACAAGCTGCTGTGCTACCAGAAGAAATGCCGCGTGAGGCTTCATTACACCTGGCGGGAGCTGTGGTCAGGTACTGCCACCCCTCGGCCTGCGCCCCGGCCCGGCCCCTCGCCAGAGCCCCGGCCCGGCGACGGCTTTGCCAAATGGCTTTGTTTGGTCAGAAAGCCCTCCGCCCGGGAATTACAGCCCCTTAGATCTCCCCCTCGGCCCCCGGGTCTGCCCGGGCTGCCTTCCTTTCTGGCCAGGCGCCGTGGTACCCCGGTGCCTCCTGGCGGTGTCACGCCCGTCCTCAGAGCCCCGCTGGCCCCACGTCAGCACTGCTCCTGAACGGAGCCGCCCCCCTCAAGCAGCGGGGAACACGGGGCAGGGGTAGGAGACGTGGCCCGCCCTTTCCCACGTCCTTGCAGCACGGGGGGAAGGAGAGGAACGGAGCCGTGTCCCTGGGAAGGCTTTTATCCTCTGGCCCTGGCAGTGTTGGCTGCAGGCCCCCCCACCGAGCATGAGAAGGCCGTCTGTGTGCTCCTCCAAACGGAGCCGGGTGGGGCTAACGCAGACACAGCGCTGGGCGCTTCTATTGCCCTCTGTGTGTTCACCGGAGAGGGGGCTGGGCGCTTCTATTGCCCTCGGTGTGTTCACCGGAGAGGGGGCTGGGCGCTTCTATTGCCCTCGGTGTGTTCACCGGAGAGGGGGCTGGGCGCTTCTATTGCCCTCGGTGTGTTCACCGGAGAGGGGGCTGGGCGCTTCTATTGCCCTCGGTGTGTTCACCGGAGAGGGGGCTGGGCGCTTCTATTGCCCTCGGTGTGTTCACCGGAGAGGGGGCTGGGCGCTTCTATTGCCCTCGGTGTGTTCACCGGAGAGGGGGCTGGGCGCTTCTATTGCCCTCGGTGTGTTCACCGGAGAGGGGGCTGGGCGCTTCTATTGCCCTCGGTGTGTTCACCGGAGAGGGGGCTGGGCGCTTCTATTGCCCTCGGTGTGTTCACCGGAGAGGGGGCTGGGCGCTTCTATTGCCCTCGGTGTGTTCACCGGAGAGGGGGCTGGGCGCTTCTATTGCCCTCGGTGTGTTCACCGGAGAGGGGGCTGGGCGCTTCTATTGCCCTCGGTGTGTTCACCGGAGAGGGGGCTGGGCGCTTCTATTGCCCTCGGTGTGTTCACCGGAGAGGGGGCTGGGCGCTTCTATTGCCCTCGGTGTGTTCACCGGAGAGGGGGCTGGGCGCTTCTATTGCCCTCGGTGTGTTCACCGGAGAGGGGGCTGGGCGCTTCTATTGCCCTCGGTGTGTTCACCGGAGAGGGGGCTGGGCGCTTCTATTGCCCTCGGTGTGTTCACCGGAGAGGGGGCTGGGCGCTTCTATTGCCCTCGGTGTGTTCACCGGAGAGGGGGCTGGGCGCTTCTATTGCCCTCGGTGTGTTCACCGGAGAGGGGGCTGGGCGCTTCTATTGCCCTCGGTGTGTTCACCGGAGAGGGGGCTGGGCGCTTCTATTGCCCTCGGTGTGTTCACCGGAGAGGGGGCTGGGCGCTTCTATTGCCCTCGGTGTGTTCACCGGAGAGGGGGCTGGGCGCTTCTATTGCCCTCGGTGTGTTCACCGGAGAGGGGGCTGGGCGCTTCTATTGCCCTCGGTGTGTTCACCGGAGAGGGGGCTGGGCGCTTCTATTGCCCTCTGTGTGTTCACCGGAGAGGGGCGGGGAAGAGCAGGCCTTGTCCCTCGCTAATTCCCATGCCTTTGTGCCAGCCCCACAGCAGCGTTGGGGGCCGTTCCTGCCCCAGCCTTTGTGGCTTACAAGGGAGGTTGTAGCAAACTGAGGGAGTCCCCAGTGTCCCGCTCCGGGTGTTGTGGGTCACACCTGGGAGTGATGACTTGGCTGCACTCGCGCAGCCCTGGCCAGGAGCGTGGCTAGCAGGGGGCTGTTGCCCAGGCCGTGCGGAGGTTTCTGGTCTCTGTTCCCAGCCAGGCACCTTCCTTTGGCCGCTGTGACGTGGGCGTGCAGGGCCGTGGACGTGCACCACCGATCTGCCTCTGCCACGGCACGTGGGGCCCATCCTGCCCTTTCCAGGCTCTGCCTGCCGGGGGCGAAGGGGTGCCCTTCGTTAGTGATCCCTTCCAGTTGCGGCGTCCCGGCGGACGGCTGTGTGGCGGCGCCAGTAGGCACTGGGCCAGGCAGCGAGCAGTAATGGCAGGGTAGCAGTCAGAGCTGGGCCGTTCCTGCATGGCCAGGCCTGTT